AACAATGATAATACTTTTTAAATTCATCTTGGGTGACATTGAAATATATGTATTGTGGGCATTGCATGTATTATACTGCAGGTTTTTGACAGGTTACTACAGATTGCATCTATACCACAGGTCAATGTCAAACCTATGGATAAACCTGTGACCTGCAGGTACAGGTATGTTGCAGGTGCAGGTTTTGCAGGTACAGGTATGGTGTTGCATATTGGCACCTGCAGGTACACCTGTGCTACACCCTAGGGCTCAATGTGACATTGAGCCCCATTGAGTTTGGATCCATTTCAGCAGCTCAAGTGGCTTGAGGCTTTCTTCACAGCAGATCACTTTGAAGTAGGCTTTGGCTTGTGGTGAAAAGTAAACCTTGAAGCACGGATTAGTAGATTTTTACAATGACAAAAGACATGCATACAGGTGTGATTATGGCAAGAACTTTACTAAGAACATTTCCGAGTTCAAAGTCAATGGGTTCCTCAACCTCTTTGCCATTGGAAGCAGCATCTAGCTAGTCCTAATCAATGGTCCAGTCCTCCTCATTTTCATCCTCTTCCTTGTTCTCATTTTCTTTGTCCTCAACTATACATGTTTTACACTTTTTACTAATAGCAAGGCCTAATGCCAAGATAAACTCCTTTGCACTAAGATGAATTGTATGCTCTATGCATCTAAGAGATACATTAGTAGTATAGAGTGGATCAATAGTAAGAAGCATACCTTGCCCAACGTTGGCAAGCTTTCCAGAGTCTTTCCTTCTCATCAATGCTTTTCACTCACTGAATACTGCTGGTAGCCCTGTCATTTACCGTGTGCTAACGCATAGTCAAAAACTTCAACAAATATTATGCTAAGTATCTTTCTTCTGATTTATTTGATAAAGAGACGTAGGTGCTGCTATTCAAGACTTGATTGAATGGTCAAAAAAAAAATAAGAAAGCCCTAAAATAGTAGAGCCTATTTATTATTCATTGTCAGCTACGAGACATGATGTACTAGCTTTGGGAGCTAGATGGAGTTATTTATCAGGAATTTGTTGTTGTTAACTGCCTAAAAGTCTTTTACTACAAAAAAAAGCACCAGACACTATGGACAGTAGACTTGAAGTCATATTTAGGCTGTGAAAACATGAGAAGATTGATAGTGATGAGAAAAACATCACTCAGCCTAGATACTCAATCACTGCCACTCAGTTTAGTAGTGCTTTACAATCCATTAACTTTTGTATAGCCAACACCTCCCATAAAGATATGGAAGATGTTGCGCTCAGATACCTAGACTTAGACAACCTGGTGATGGAGATGAGAGGTGAACTTTAATGGTTGAACTTGCGTGAGCTTTTTGACTAGGCTTAAAATGACTTTTGCATCTGCTGAGTACTTTTTTAACTTCTTTCAATGCTTAATGCTGTTGTCACTTCAAAATAGCTTAATAGCTTCTATGATAGGGTCATTGTCAATATTTTGTTCTTATTTGTGAAAGAGTAGAGAGTCATACTTGTGGACAGGGGTTTTGCTTGTATCTTGATATCAATTTGTGATCACCTCTGACTTCTTAGTTTGACAATGTCTCCTGCCCCTGAGAGAAACTTATCTGATTGATAGTGCCATGACTTTTACAAACACTTTATTCCCATGTTTTCTTAGTTTTTTAGACTTAATAGTCTGAAGTATTTGCTCAGCTCTGCAACAGCATTGTCAAGGGCAGCAGTGAATTTTGAAGCAAAGGTGATGTCATTAATCTAGATAAGTACAATAATTTCTTCCTTAATGTAAATATAAATGAAGCAGTCAGATTTAAGGTGTTTGTATACTATAGATGCAAGTGCTTTATGTAGCTTCTTGTTTCACTGTCTAGCTGACTGCTTGAGACCATAAAGGGATCTCTTGAGTCTGAGTACCTTGTTGCCATTCTTGAAGCCTTCTGGATATTGCATGTAGATGTCCTCATCCAGATTACCATTAGTAAAGGCAGAAGTGATATCTATAGAGTACAATTACATGTCCTTAATAGCTGCAAAGCTAGAATAAGTCACAGAGCTAATATTGTCAAACTTATCTACAGATGTAGCATCTACTGTACTGAGCTATTTGACCTTTGCATGAAATTTATAGTTATACAGCTTACAGTCTTTTATAATTGTCAAAGCACTATATACAGACAGTGTGCAGCCTTGGTGTGTATGCTTTCTAATTATTTTATCTTGCTATTTACATACTACATGGGATTTTTCTATGCTAAATATGACTATAAGCCTTGCAAAGCAAATATAGCCCCTTCCAAAGTGACATATTTGGCAACTCTGCCTTGATTTTCCTGAAATCCACAATTATGCAGATCTTAGTTGTTATTACTTTACAGACTAAATTCCAAGGCCTCTAGTAAGTTGCAAAAAATAACTATACATATATATTATATGAGAAAAAAGCTTAATAGGTCATTAGTTGTCACTGCAGATGTAAACTAAAGTATGTTTTGTCAGAGTGAAAGAATCTTGAAAACTTTCATTCTTGCCTACCAACAACAATGCTGCCTCTGCATTTTATGCTAGTGCAATGTTTTAAGCATACACTATAGCTGATCTAGGTTAAAAAGTTGCAGAAATATAGGCTAGAGAATATTGATCTCAACAATCTTTCTATCAAAGCTCACTAGGTCTTGGACAAAAAGCTATTTCAATGGTAACTTGACACTGCCTATGTTATATGAATAGTAGATGTTAGAATAAAAAGTGGAAAAATGGTGGTCTTTTGTACTTTTGAGGTATTTGGTAGCCTGTTCATTTTAATGAGCCCAGAAAATTGAGATTGAGTATAACCAATAGAGTTGTGATAAGCTTAGGTTTGTTCAGCCGTCTTACGATCACACTTTTACATTACCTTCAGAGAGTCGGTAGCATGGCCGAGTGGTCTAAGGCGTTGGATTTAAGCAATTGATTCCCAATGGGTGCAAACCCGCGTGAGTTCAAACCTCACTGCTACCATTTTTACAGTTTCCCGTAGACTTGCGGCTCACAGCAACGGGTAAAATGGTACAAGGTTTCAGATCACTGGGGGCATAGCTCAGTTGGGAGAGCAGCAGACTGAAGTTCAGCGTTAGTGTCACACTCTTCTGAAGGTCCCGCGTTCAATCCGCGGTGCCCCCATGTCTTTATTCTGGCCATGTTTTTCTTAGCTGACCCGTCGCTGTTACTTATTCGCCGTTACAGTTTACAATCGATTTAGCTTTTTATACCAACGAGTTGTGGAGGGTGAAATGCATCGTGAGGATAAGATGCAAATTTTTGTTTGATGGAAGGGTGCTAGGTAGAGGTAGCGATTTTGGCGGCGGTCTCCTTCTTCTCCCCGTCGTGGTCCTCATCAGCATCGTCCAACTCGCCCTCGTCTTCCTCATCCGAAACCGGTGGCTCCTCCTCCTCCTCCTCCTCGTGGTCAAACGGATCGTAAATGATCGATTCCATATAATCTAGCGCCGCCTACAAATGGCCCAACACACCAAAAAAAAGCATGGAAGAAAGTTCTAGTACGGCTGATACCTGACATCATCAGAAGCAGAAGTGCGCACCCGACCGACCTCGGAGAGCTCTTCGGCGTCGGTGCCGGAAAAGGTATCGAAGGGAGAGTTGAGGGGGTCTATGATGGCGTCGTCGTTGTCGTTGTCGAAATCATCGGGGGAGGAGGGATCGGGGTGGAGGGCAGCGCAAAGGGAGAGGGACTCGAAGATTTGATCGACTGTGTGTGTTGGATCAGCAGGGAAAGGGGAGAGGGGAGAAGAGACGTACGCGCAGAAGGGTCTTTGGGGATGATGGACAGCTCCTGGAGGTCAGTATCTGCATCTTGGTCTTCAGGATCTGCATCGGCAGCGGGACCTGCTTCGAGCTGGCAGTATATCGCTGGAGCAGGGCCTGCGCGGGAGATGGCATGGAGGGTTATGGATGGGTAAGGGATCTGGAAACCACGCGAGGCGGCAGGAGACCAGAAGACGAGAACGCTGAAGATGGGATTAGTAGATGAGATGTTTTATACAGCTAACTGACCTTGTCAGAACGTAGAGTGTCCCTGAGGCAACATCGTCCAAGCCAGAAACAGGTGGCTCAAGGACTATGCGTACGTCGGGCTGTGTGTGTTTGAGGACGGGGGGTATATCGGCGAAGGAAGCTGGGGTAGATCCTACGATTACAGCGTGCTCCTCAGGGGAGGCAAAGGTGGGAATGGACGAGATGGGAGTTATTGACATCGGGGTAAAAGGTAAAGACCCGTATTGGGGTTAATGCCGTCCACCACAATGATCTCTGAATCCACTGTCCTATTAACCCACATTGTATCTCAGATAAAAGCAAACGTCGACTTTCTCGTCGAGCAGAACCATCTCTCCCCCGCAGACGCCAATGCCTTTATAGCCAAACTACCTTCATCTAATCCTCGTGCTGTACCCCCAGCGCCAGAACCTAGACCCCAACAACAACAACAACAGGCAAAGGCACTATGGGCGTACAACGAGAACGGAGAGGTTCGTTTCTTTCCTCTCTCCCACCTTGATCCATACTAACGCACCTACAGGAAGAAGACCTCTCCTTCCGAGTCGGCGACATAATCACCATCATTGAAGAAACCAACACAGACTGGTGGACCGGTTCCGTGCACGGCAAACAGGCTCTCTTTCCCTCCGCATACGTCGAGAAGATCAAGGCTCCTCTCCCCGCATCCACCGACCCCATATCCACCTCTCCCTTCGTTACTAGGGGCACAGCCAAGCCCTACCGCCCATTTGGCGCCGCGATGCACGGGACAGACCTCCCGCCCCCAAGCGGTGCAGGCACCAACTCGGTGGGACTGCAGGAGCAGGGCGGGGAGGAGAAGAAGAAGAGCAAGTTTGGCAAGTATGGAGATACCGTGCGTCCCCTTGCTTTGTGTCTTTCTCTCGCTAAATTGTCCTTGTTCAGATGGCGCACTCTGCCGCTGGCGGCGTTGGGTTCGGTGCTGGTATGCCCCATTTCCTATTCTTTCTTCATCATCCATCAGCACAAACAATTTTTTTAAAAACAAAACACTCACATAACTAAAATCACAAGTCCAATAGCTTGCCTCCTCCACACCCATTCCGAGCCTAACCTCGATCCCAAACTCCTCTTCCTTGAGTATCTCCTTGGCGCGGACCTCGTCTACGACCTCTGGTTCTCCATTCACCAGGACGGGGAGCGGGGCGCTGCCGTCGGCGGGGATGAAGGTGACTGAGACGGCGGTGGGGTCGATTGTTGGGATGGTGGAGTCGGGAAGGGGGGAGAGGGGGATGGAGCCGGTAGAGGCGAGGATGCGGCCCCAGCTGTGGGTTGGACGGTGGGTTAGTACACGACATGGAATAAGGGGATGCGTACTTTGCGTCTTCGCCGTAGAGCGCGGTTTTGACGAGTGCAGAGGTGGAGATGCGCGAGGCGATGCTATGTGCGTCTTTATACGAGTTGGCTTCCTGTGGGGGTGTAAATGCAAGAAAGGAGCTAGACGCAAGGTCAAGCGCACCATGACAGTGACGGTGACGAATTTAGTTGCGCCCTCGCCGTCCCTCACGACGAGCTTGGCAAGGTCCACCGCAAACGCTGTAAGTTCAGCCTTGAACATGTCATAAGCCTCCTTATCAGTTGCCTCATCGATCTCCTTGACGTCCTTGCCCGCTGCGGCGCCATTAGCGAGGACGACGATGGTATCATTAGTGCTCATATCGCCATCCACACTTATCGAGTTGAAGCTCCTCTCGACTGCATACGTGAGTGCGCTCTGTAGACTGCGCGGGGTGACGGGTGCGTCAGTGAGTATAGCGCCAAGCAGGGTAGCGTGGAGCGCCTTGGGTGAGAAAGATGTGGAAGCCGGCCCCATATCGGGGTGGATCATACCGGCGCCCTTGTCCATGCCAGCCATGCGGTACTGGACGCCCCCGATGGTAAAGGTGCGTGCGCGAAGCTTGGGGAATGTATCAGTAGTCATGAACGCGTTGGCAGCGCGTTCCCATGCAGGAAAGTCGGTTCCGAGGGAAGGGGGGGCGAGTGTGGTGATACCAGTGAGAATCTTGGATATGGGGAGGTTTTGGCCTATTACACCTGTGGACATGACAAGGGTGTCGTGGGCGGGCTTGGAGTCTATGGGGGGGAGTAGTGCATCGGTTGCACGAACCATAGCCCATGCATCCTTGAGGCCCTGCTGGCCAGTGACAGCGTTGGCGCAGCCGCTGTTGACGACGATACCACGGACGCGGCCACCGTTAGATGAGAGGATTTCATCAGAGACGAGGACTGGGGCGGCTTTGAAGGCGTTGCGGGTGAAGCACGCTGCGGCAGATGTCGGGCGGTCAGAGGTAGACAAGATCACTCCAACGTCGAGTGCGCCTTGCTTCTTCTTTACGCCTGCGTGTACACCGGTGAGTAAATAGCCTGCAGGGAACGCAGATGCTGAGATGGGGGCATGGAGGTGAGCTTTGGACGGTGCGGCCTTGATAGTCACCGTCGAGCTCAGGCGTTTAAAGACGTGCGACATTGTAGTCCAGAGGAGAATTCTCGCGTCCTTATATGTTCATTGATAGCACAAATGACTCGATTCATCGAATTTCGCTATTGGCAAGACAAAAGGATATGCATTGTATTTCTAGAATAGAGCAGGCGCTGTGTAGTTAATCCACACAGCCAGCGCCCTCTTGAAAAAGGTCACTCTCCCATCGCTCCGTTACTCTGTTGGCCGGAAAACACAACCGAAGAGTGCAACACGACTGCTGCATCGATGGTGAAGAAACATTGATTTTTCAAGAGTTTTTATACCACAGAGGTCACGTGTTGAAAGACAGATTTGGGCAGCTTTGGCAAGGTTGAATCTGACCATGGATCCTGGTATATTAGCAGGCGTATTCAGCTTTGTCTCCCGCGAGATTGGCTCTTTTGTCACCACCGCAACGGGAGGCAGTCTATCAGATGTCGAGGTATTTACCTTTCAACTCGATATTCAACTTTGTCGACCAATTTTTGCTCAGGAGTCACGCGTTGAAGCGCGCAGAAAGAAACGCGCTTCTGCTAAACGTAAATTGGAGGAGACACCGCCAAAACGACGCGTTCGTAGGCCAACGCCCGAGGCCGAACCTTGTCTGTGTTTTTTACATGTGTGCTAAAGGGCGTTCTCATATTTCAAGCAGACCGTATGCCTGGCTCTCTCTTTCCTCGTTCCCCCTCTCTCCTACCGGATGATGCCCGCCACGTTCATTTCTTTCCTCAAGACTCCCCCAGTGCCGGCCCCTCAACTCTAAACTCCGTCAAAGCAGCCGTACAGCGCTTCCACGTAGGCTCAGATGATGCCGACCCCTCCATACTACTCCCAAGCCCGACCGCGTCCCCGGTTCGGAACATCCACAAGGCTAGGGACACCAAGGGCAAGGGACGCGCTCTGGACCTGTCCTTTCCAGACGCTGATACCTCTGGGGAGATACGCGTCAAGGGCAAGGAGCGGGAGCTGGAAGAGGCGCGAGAGGACCAGCGCAGGCGCGGGGACGAAGAGGGTGAGGCGGGGCCCAGTAATCACGACAAGGAGCGCATCAGGATGCTAGAAGAGCAAGTCGCCATGCTCAAAGAAGAGGTTCGTCCCTCTCCTCCAAGTATCCCACTCACCTAACCTTCCACCCACAGCTCTCCAAACGTCCGCACGTACCCCACTCCGGTCCCCCGCCTCCTCCTCCTCCACCACCACCACCACCACCACCAGGTTCCCTCAGAATCCCAACATTCGGAAGCCACCCCGAGATGCTCTTCGCCTCTGCCCGCGCCGCACTAAAACACGCACCAACACCTGTCGAGGCACCAATCAACCCCCCCGTCGCAGCCCGGCGCCAAGGCCAGCCCACCGTCGGCATCCCCGCGGACAAGATGCTGGCATTTTTGAAGGAGATGAAGACCGTAAAGCTCAAAAAAGTCGTTCCGTTGCGCACTTTTGATGCTGCCAATGCATCGTTTGCGGGAAACACGTCGTTCAGCCGTACTCGGGACTTTGGTGGCTCGATGCTCCCTAGGCGGGCGAGCTCCTCGGCGTCGATGGTTGCTGGGCGGGATCTCCTTAGGGCTGGAGACAAGAGGAAGCGCGCTGGGGACGATTTGGCCGCGTTACATGATGATTTGCG